CATTTTTAGGAATGCTCTTATATAAACACTTACTTCTATATATGACATGAATAACCAATCAAAAGCTCAGGATGTCCCCCTAATGGCTTTCTCAGCATTATAATGTGTTTGAATGCCATCTCTTTCTTTCGAACCAAGATTTCAAGGAGGTAGGTTGTGTCTTTAGTGTGCTCGAAATTTCATATTTATTTGGACTGAAATACAGCTTAGTTACAAAGCTTGATAAATTATAGTAGAATTCTATGGTATTGCTATAGTAATTTATGATTTTTTGGTTATTCAAAAGTATATATAAAACCTAAAAAAATTATTTCATTAGATATCCTCCAGGTGTGAACATTTAAAAGGTTTAGAAACCTATGTCAAGCACCAACCAAGTACAAAGGTCATAACTAGAAGAGATAATTGTTTGCTTTACTTTAGTTACTATGTTTTAAGAAAAATAAGTTTAAGAACATATTTCTAAATAGTAATAATCTATATATATATATAATGTATAATAATTGAAATGTGACTGTATTTTACAAAATACTAGTCTACTTAAACACAGCCAAGACAAGTCAGTTTGTAAAGACAAAAGGTCAGTTTTATATTTTTTGGATTCGATAACATGAGTCACGTGCTGCATCATTGTAACTCCAATATTGTTAGTCAGGCACGGCTGAAAGATCAATATAATAAAAATAATAAATGTATAATGTTATGTGATTTAAGCTATTTAGTCTAAACATTTATGTTTTTGCATTATAATTTGTTGTCATTCTAGAATGAAAGAGGTATAATTTATATCTATTTCCTAATTTTTTATGTTGGTTATGAGATCAGTCAAATCTACCAAACCCGTATAGAGATTCATTACTGAAAATAACAGTTAATACAAAGTTTTTTCTTAAGAAACGTTTAATAACCATCTGGACATTATAAAGACTTTGTATGTGAAATTTGAAAATTTTCTGATGCATAAAAGTATTTTTAATCTCAAAATGAAAATTACTTTGCATGTTGGATAGGCAAATTGCGAGAAAAAAAAGGAATAAGAAAAACATTGCTTTACAAACCTTAACACTAAATAAAACAATTTGATATTTTGCATATGAAAGCATTGTAATGTTTAATGATAACCTGCCAAATTTCATTAACATTAACTTAAAAGTTATAGCATGAAAACTATAACAAGCACAAAATGGTAAAGAGGCAGAGACAGTAGTTAGACATTTCAAAGGGCAATAAAACATTTAATTATAAATAGATATATACTGTTATGAATTTAGAGCTACTTAGGATAAACAAATGTAGTTTCATGTTACAATATGAAGTCACTCTAGAAAGAAAAAAGGGAATTCAGGTTTACTTCGATTTTTTTTTTTTATGGTTATGAGGTCAGTCAAATTGACCGATCCAGTTTTGAGATAGGGTAGAGAAAATAACAGATAAATTATGAAGATTTAGGGGAAAAAAACGTTTGAAATCATTTCGGAGGTTTTAGGGATTACACAAAGGAAATTTGATATTTTTGAGATGACAAAAAAATATTTTTAATTTTAACATGTAAATTACTTTGCACACGGACTATTCAAAACAAATACTCAATATATTCATGGACAAATCTTTTATTAAAATACTTC